TTACGAGTCCCCGCAAAATCCACACGGGCCTTTCGGGAAGATAATGTCCTCAGATCAAGACCGAGATCTTTGGCTATATTTCCAATAACAGACTCGCGTTTCATCTCTTCTGGGATAGAATAACTCAGGTCTCCATTAACGAGGTGCAGCGTTACAATAAAGGAAGCAAAGCAGAGGATCGGGCGAAGCGGTGGAAATCCTTTGTCTCCCATCCTGACACAAAAAGGCGTCATCAGCTTGTACGATTTATAACTCCGACTGCGAAACAATAAAAACCATCTAAAAACACCAAACGATCCAACACATCAGAGCAATCACTACAACACAATATGCTCGAATATGTAACCGTTTGTCTGGAAAATCTGCAGCTGATGTCCATATAGCAGTGGGTGGAGTGGTAAGAGCCTGTTATCCGTCAGCCAACAGCGACACCATGAGTCATTTTTAGTCTCCACTCAAGAATGTAATAGAATATTGTCCACAAAGTTTCAAACCACATTAATATTATATTCACTCACGCTCAAATGTACTGTGCATGTGCAGTAAATGTTTCATATTCTTCAAACACACACGGGGTTTTTATTCATTGGCTCAGCGATACAGATGTAGATGTCACCGACCCCAGTACAGCTTAGCTTTATGAGAAATGATGTGGAATGTATACTGTCTTTGCTTTAGATTTCTAAATGTGTCTGTACATAGGAAGTAGGCAATACACTAATGAATGCTACTGTTTGAGCATGTGAAAGAGAAGTCCGCTAAACTGTGAGTACAATACTACCACTGTAAAAAATAAATAAATAAATAAAAAATGTAGTAACATTAAAGTGTTGCGCTCCATATTTAGACAATGGTCTGATGCAACAGCATAAACTACAATAATTCAAAGTTGTCATTGCATTTAAATCACATTCCGATCTTGATCAGCATTGTCATGAAGAACCCTACCCGGTCTCATTCCGAAGTCCAACAAGAACCAGATGTCGCAAATGCAACACCATGAAGGAGGAGAAAATGTCATCTACGGTTGCGGGTGTGCGTGAGCGCCTGAGGAGTGTTTCAGCACCATGAACAGATACCTTAAGATTTAACAGGGCTGGTGGCACTAACATACTGAACTTTGTTTTGGTCTCCTGGTCACTGTTCTTAGACTGTGCTATTCTGAGTTTTCGACAATTTCATAAACGTAAACACCTACTATAATTAATATATAAACCGTTATCCACACACGCCTCGGCTCACTTAGAAACAAGGGCTTTGTTTGCATCATGCCAATAAGTGACAACCACTGACGCAAACTGAAAAGATGTTTAACAGCAAAATATGTAAAATCAAAGACCAATGACATCCTGCATTAAATGCTTGATTAAAAAATAGCTCTGCGACAGCTCCACTCATAACCACTTTGCTGGTAAAATTGTTCTTTTAACGATCAAGATTTCCTTTCGGCCCAGATTGTTTGCTTGCAAAGGACAGGTTGAAGTCACTCCTTGGTCGCGAATGATTGTGTTATTCTACATAGCGAATTATTCACGATTAATATAATCTACAAGCAACAGAAGTATAAAATCAACAACTGACTCACAAGATAGAAATGACAATCCCATCATGTAATCACATTCAACGTTCATCTTTCTGAAGGAGAATATGAGATGAAATGACAAACGTTTAAACAATAACGAAAAATGAAAAATAAAAAACACGTCTTACAAATAGACAACACTTGAGGAGTACCACTGTTGAAGCACAAAAGACAAAATATGT